AATTTGCATGCCCTGCTGTAAATTTTGACCGGTTGATGAAAAACAAGCTTATGTGGATTCTACACATTTAAACAATTCAGGTAAGTTATCTAGAATTATTTATGGAGCAGATACAATACATATAATCATTTATTAATCAATTATCATTTTGTCTTATATATTTTCTTTATTTAAAGGCTGAAACGTGAGGTTTACCTTTTTATGAAACTTTTTCAAAGCTTTATTTGAACACTTACATTAGATATTTCAACATGCTATTAAACTGTTGTCAGCCAAGTTGTCATTTAAAATCCGAACATCATTGGTAATGTTATTGTTTTAGTGATTATGCAAACAAAAAGTCATTTTAAGATACAGTGTATAGATACATTGCATTGAATGGGAATATTAATTTATGGCCATTTTACCCACATATGGCATAAAGTAAAATAGGCGCTCGAAGGGGGTGTAATTCAATGTAGAACCGCCACTGCCTCCAATGTCATACAAGGTTAAAAAACAACGGATTAGTGGTGTAGGCAGTAACGCGTTGGGTGCGGAGAACTAGCTTGTGACGTGATTGATTAGGTTCGAGTCCGGCTTTTGCCGAGCTCGCTCTTCTCACTTTTCCCATCACATATCACATTAGAATTTATTTTCAATAATAATGAAGAAAATGTTCTAAAAGTGGAAGTAAAGTGCCTAACGAGTGTTTAATAATGATAAAAGTATTTATAATTTAATAAATATAATCATTTACACCCTGTTATTATTGCATCCTGTTAATGTACAATACTGAGGTGCAAATAGTATGTACAGTGGTGTGAAAAAGTGTTGGCCCCCTTCCTGATTTCTTATTTTTTTGCATGTTTGTCACACTTTAATCACTAGTAAAAGGTAACACAAGTGAACACAACATGCAGTTTTTAAATGAAGGTTTTTATTATTAAGGGAAAACAAAATCCAAAACTACATGGCCCTGTGTGAAAAAGTGTTTGCCCCCTAAACCTAAGCATCTAGAGCTATTTGCACTTAGCCTACTGTAAACAGGATCTATCGCTAAGAAAGTATATTAATTCCACTTAATATACTAAATAGTAAATAGCCACTGCCGTATTTGTCTTACCCTATTGGTAGATCATTTGTAAAATAAGAAAAATGCACTTAAATTATTATTATTATTTTTTTTTGCCCGTGAGATACCATGAAAATGAATAGCCAATTAGTTAAATAACCTACCGTTCTGCCAGTTTTCACCTGTGATATTATGACAGTGATAAGAATTTATTATTTTATATATATTTTTTGCCCGTGAGATACCATGAAAATTAATAGCCTATTAGTTCAATAACCTACAGTTCTAACAGTGATAAGAATTAAACTTGTATTGAGTCTGAAGTATGCAGACGTCTTTTTGGCGGGAGCTGTTGCCATGGTGAATCGTAATATCGGAGCTCCATTGATCATGGCTTTTCATAGTCGTGGTGCACGCGCTAAACTCAGAGTTGACTGAATTTACACAATTCAGCTGTTCTGAACCCGAAAACTCGAGTTTCCCATCTCAGAGTAAGTCAACTCAGAGTTCAAGTTTTAACTTGAGGTTTAACTCAAGTTAAACCTCCTTATTGAAACGGCCCCTGCTGTATTAGTTTTTGCTGCTGTATTATTTGAAGTGAAATAACCCTGGAACATAACCTGCTCTGGAGCAGGTTATCTTCAGAGAGCAAGTTACTATGGTTACTTACATACCCTGAAAGTAACCTCCGATTTTGGAACCGAAAGCTGAGGTTATCCGCTCGCTTATCCTCAAACATACCCGGGTATGTCACATAACCTGCTTTTTGGAATACCCCCCAGATGTTTGTTTGAATATGTTGTTTGTTCATCACTCAGTATATTGACTTGAAGTTAATTATCTGTCAGTCTGCTTTAATTATGTATATAATGCGTTAATTCAGGTTCTTATTCTGAATAGACTATGCTGTTGCTATCTCACTAGTTAGTTAGACAGAGCAGGTGGTTGCATCACATGTAGAGAGCTGTGAGTAAGGCTACATATTTGTGCAGGTGTGCCTGAGTTTTTTTCTGTGGTCAGCACATTTCCAGTCAATGCAAACACAATAAACATCAGAGGGCCAGTACCAGGTCCCAACTTGCCAGGTCATGACTCTCTTTTGCTGTTTTATATTTATTTACACCAGAGCAAAACTACATTGCACACAGGCTTTTTCATATCAGTCCATTATAGCTAAAGATTTGAGTTAAGAGTTACAATGCTGTTGACCAGACAGGTGAGTAATTCATTATAATGTATGTATTTGTTTGTTTCTGGTTCTTTCAGAGTTACATAGTTTATATGTGCTGATGGATGAGTAAACACTGGGTTGCTGCAGTCCTTCAAAAACAGTACTGGATTAAGTCCATAGGTCATAGGTTTCTGATGACTACAAGAACAGATCTTGTGTTCTGCTTTAATTATTAACTTTTAGTGGTAGTTCATGAAAATTGTATTGAAAAGTTTATTGACAAATTAATTTTACTAACAAATATTAGTATGAAAATACATTTCAGTTCACTCTCTTTTGCACTATGTAATCATATAGTCTCAGTAAGGGAATAAAATGTCTTGTAAAAGCGAAGTACTGGCCCATAGTTAGAGTTCAAAAGTTAATCCCAACCCACTTGTGTTTCCATCCTCTTGATTCAGTCTTTCATGTTAATCAGTGTTTTGTCTGCCAAAGTTAGCTGGCTAAAAGCACCAAAGCAGTCCACTGTGCTGTGACCTAAATTTGTCTAAACCTTCAGAAAAGGTAAAACAGGTCTCTTGTTTGTGTTTTCAACGTAGAGTTGTTACAAATAATATTATGTAGTTATAATATTCAACCTAAATTTGTAAAATCAGGTGTGTAAACCTTCATATTCTGATTCTGTTTGAATGCAGGTAATTTGTTTAATGGTTTTGAGCACTTATCTGCAATATGTGAAAATGTAAAAAATTTTCTATAGCAATTTTTTAAATGCAGTTTTTAAATGTATTTTTTCCACATTTACTAATGTAAAAATGCCCTGAGAAATATCAAGAAAATATTGTATATTTATTTATTTGTATTTTATATTCATTGACATTGAAAGTAAATAATCTAAATGTTAATCTAATATTGATGTTCATACTTCTCTTTATATATTGGTGCAAGAATGCAAACTCTCTGTCAGTGATAAAACAATATTATATAATGTCAGTTGTGTATATATTGATGTCATGATAATGTGTGGTGTTTTTTTTTGTTTTGTTTTTTTTAGTGAGGAAGGAGTCTGTGTAGACATGACTATGATCTGTTTGAATGATTTTGAGGAATATGCCAAGCAGCACCTCTCAAAGGCTACATGGGACTATTATGAGGCTGGAGCTGATGACTGTTGCACCAGAGATGACAACTTGCTGGCCTATAAACGGTACTATACTGCTGTTAAAGGGATAGTTCACCCAAAAATGAAAATTCTGTCATGAATTACTCACCCTCATGTTGTTCCAAACCCATAAGACCTTCGTTCATCTTCAGAACACAAATTAAGATATTTTTGATTAAATTCGAGAGCTTTCTGAGTCTGACCCTTCATAGACAGCAACAAGGCACAGCACATCCAGGTTCTACGTCAGAATGCCGGCTCCTTCATCAGCAGCACGTCATGCGTGGTACGGTAAGAGAAAAAATTGTTGAATAAAGTCATGGACACATGGACTATTTTAATGATGTCCTTACTACCTTACTGGGCCTTGAACGTGATAGTTGCGTTGCTGTCTATAGAGGGTCCGAAAGCTCTCAGCTTTCACCAAAAATACCATTTTTTGTGTTCTGAAGATGAATGAAGGACTTGCAGGTTTGGAACGACATGAGGGTGAGTAATTACTGAATTTTCATTTTTGGGTGAACTATCTCTTTAAATTTGTATTATACTCTATATTTGTATTACCCTATACAATTTTATGGTCTATGCTTATGAGTAATCTCTAACTAAACTAATCTCATACAATAATGTCATCTCTTTCAGGATCCGCTTGAGGCCGCGGATTTTACGTGATGTGTCGATCAATGACACTCGGACCTCTGTGCTGGGAATGGAGATAAGCTTCCCTGTGGGAATTGCTCCCACGGCTTTCCACTGCCTTGCGTGGCATGAGGGAGAACTGGCCACTGCTAGAGGTGAGAGTGTGATGAAGTGACTGGGTTTCATTACTTCTTGTGTTATGCAGCAATTTGGCCACTAGATGGAAACTTGTTTGAAGCTACTAGTTTTACTTTTTTGCATCTTATCTCTCCATTCTTCTTTCATTTCCCAGCCACTGAGGCAGTGAACACCTGTTACATAGCCAGCACATACTCCACATGTTCAGTGGAGGAGATTGCTGCAGCAGCGCCCAACGGCTACCGCTGGTTCCAGCTGTACTTGTACCGGCACCGTAAGCTCTCGGAGCAGATTGTGCGCAGGGTGGAAGCACTTGGCTACAAAGCTCTGGTGCTTACAGTGGATGTGCCCTACACTGGCAAACGCCGCAATGACATATGCAACCAGTTTAAGCTCCCACCTCACCTGAAGGTCAAGAACTTTGAGGGAATGTTCCAGGTAGGGCAGTTATTAATTTATTTTTTAATTTTTGAACATTTAAAATGTATAATACAGTAAAGCAAGGGTTTTTGGGCCACCAAGAACATTTGAAAATTTGAGAGAAAATAAAAAGATTATGGAAAATATTTTTAGGGCTGTCAAAGTTAATGCATTAACTTAAGAAATGTATTAAATATGTTTAATTCAATAATTATTATAATATTGATTTAACTTAATATATTTATTAAATGTTTAACTCAATAAATATTTATTTATTCATTATAGTATTGATTTCCACACTTTTTAAATGTGGAATACAGTAAAACAAGAGTTTTCAAAGTTGGGCAAAGGGGTCGCAAAGAAAATCTGAGAGAGAAGAAAAGTTCATAATTAATATAATATTTATTTTAATATTTTTTTAAATTAACAGTAACACTTTATTTTAAGGACCAATTCTCACTATTAACTAATTACTTATTAGCATGCATATTACTAGCGTATTGGCAGTTTATTAATACTTATAAAGCACATATTCTGCATGACCATATTCTACATTAGATGTTTTGTTTCCAGTCAAGACTTGGAGAAACTTGTTCATGCCTTTATCACCAGCAGGGTAGACTATTGTAATGGTCTCCTCACCGGCCTTCCCAAGAAGACCATTAGACAGCTGGAGCTCATCCAGAACCCTGCTGCCAGGATTCTGACTAGAACCAGAAAATCTGAGCATATCACACCAGCTAAAACATTAGTCACATTTAAATGCAGACTCAAAACTCATCTGTTTAGCTGTGCATTTACTGAATGAGCACTGTGCAATGTCCGAACTGATTGCACTATATTTTATGTATAATCATTTTCTATTCTTAACTGTTTTAAATTCATTTTAAACCTCTTAAATCAATTTTTAAATAATTTTCAGAGTTTTAAATTCCTTGTTTTATTGTTGTGATTATATTTTTTCATTTATTTTATGTAAAGCACTTTGAATTACCATTGTGTATGAAATGTGCTATATAAATAAACTTGCCTTGCCTTGCCTACATCCCTTAATCCTACCCTATACCTAAACTTAACAACTACCTTACTAATTATTAATAAACAGCAAATTAGGAGTTTATTAAGACAAAAGTTGTAGTTAATTGTTAGTTAATAGTGAGAATTGGTCCCCAAACTAAAGTGTGACCAAATTAACATTCAAATGTTATATATATAAAAACAATTCTTTAAGCTGCTTTATAAAAATATTTCATGTGAAAAGCACTTCACAAATAAATCTGAACTGAACTCAAAATATTTTCATATTTTAGTAATTTGTGAGCTAACTAAATTTAAGAAACGTTGTCTTTATAGTATGACTTCATGTAATGAATAAGATTTTGTAATGCTTACAGTATAACTGGGTTTTTATATATAAAAATATCTCACAAGGGGATCGTCACATTTTGGGGGGTTTACATCATAAAGTTTGAAATAAGCAAATAGAGGAACTCCACAAAATAACAGAGTGGTAGTGGGAAATGTTTACACGCTGAATTTGAACTTATGCTGCTTGTATAAGCAATATAGCTTACCAAGTTTAAGCATACAGTATCTTGTTATGTAATGTCTGTTTGTATGAATCCCTCTTTGCTCCCTTTACAGGAGCAGGCTGGCTCCCTGGAGGAATACGGGATCCCTGCTAACACACTGGACCCGTCGATCAGCTGGAAGGATGTGTGCTGGCTCCAGTCTCTATCACGGCTGCCTATAATCATCAAGGGCATCCTTACTAAAGAGGATGCAGAGCTGGCCGTAGAGCATGGCGTCCAAGGGATAATTGTGTCTAATCACGGGGGCCGGCAACTGGATGGAGGGCCCGCAACGGTAAGGCAATCTATCCATGTCTCAGTAGTTTAGATGTGATTCCCACCATTCAGACAGTTACACCTTGACCTTACATGTCACACAGATAGATTGTCTGCCTGAGATAGTGGATGCAGTGCAGGGCCGGGTCGAGGTCTACATGGACGGAGGGATCCGCACGGGCAATGATGTGCTGAAGGCCATAGCCTTGGGAGCCAAATGTGTGTTTATTGGCAGACCAGCGATCTGGGGCCTTGCTTACAAGGTAACTGTGTGGAAAGCAGTGTTTTTAATGCTTGAAAATCTATTTAAGCCTGTACTGAATTTTCCATTAACAAATTGTCAGATACTCGCGTGATATTTGGTGCAGATAAGGTGTTCATATACAGTATGTTTTGATCAGGGGGAGGAAGGAGTCAGAGAGATCTTACAGATTCTACACGACGAGTTTCGTTTATCCATGGCGCTGTCAGGTCAGTCCGCTATGTAAAATGTAATGTGCCATGTGTCGCACAACAAAAAATGGGTCACGTTTTGATGTCTGACAATTCCCTTCATTCTGCTAGGTTGCCGAAATGTTGCTGAGATCAACAGGAACCTCATTCAGTTCTCCAGACTTTGAACAGCAAAGAGGACTTTAGTCATTTCTACTTTACCACTGACAGCAAAGATCCACTTTATCCACTATTAATACTAAATGTATTCAAGAAACTACTGTTGCTTTAAGTCACATTTAACAAAAATGACATATTTACATATGTTCACAGTGTATGGATGTTTTTAAAATAGTATTTTTATTTCAGTAAACATTATGCACGGCACTGCATAAATTCCACACTATTTTGCCTAAGAGTGAATTATTTTAGTACCTGATGAATCTCCAATCAGAAATTGTCAAATTTATTTATATAGCGCTTTTTAAAATACAAATTGCTGCAAAGCAGCTTTATTGTAGTAAAGAGAAAAACAGGAGCAAAATTGTTTTTTCAGTATTCAAATGTTTTGGTTCTCATAATTATGACTTCTATTTCAACTATAAATCATTTATGCAGAAGATAATAATCTAGTAAATTACCTATTTTGTGCTTTAGATGCTCCACTGTATGGCAGAAACTAATTCACGGGACTGAGTAAATCAGTAATGCCCAAAAGGTATCTTATGTAAATTAAATAATGTGCAGTTATTTATCAATTTATCATAAGTACTGAATGAACATTAAAATATCCAGTGTGGCAATACTAAACACTACGAGATTCTCGGACGTAATGAAGGATGGTATATGTTAAGTCAGTATTTATCTGACAATTAGTGCTATACTTTTTCTGTTGACTTCCTACTTTTTTAAGAGGTTAACTCGATTTTTCCCTCTAAAAATAAACACATGGTACAAATGAATGCATTTATCTCATATTCAAGTGCGCATTGTTTTTTTCACTCTGTCTTTAACATAAAGATTGTTTGTTTTACAGGCACTACAGTAAATAAACAGTAAACTGCTAAAGCAGCACAAAAAAAATGCAGATTTGCTATCAGGCTTCCTCTTTTCACACCGGCTATGGGTTCACCTCATGTGTATCAAACACAACATCAGAGTGCAAATGCAGCTGAGCGAAAAGCAAAGGCTTGAACTGAAGCCTATTAAAAGTAACATGTCAAAAGGAGGAAGATAGAACGTTTTGAAACAACATGTAAGGGTGTGTGTGTGCGAGAGAAAGAGAGAGAGAAGTGACACAGGAAGTCAATGAGGTTGTGGTAAACAGACTACATACCCATTTGTGTCGACCGAGTGTGATCACAGCGTGATGCTTTGTGCTAAAATGAGAAGACACTTCTGAAAGCACCACATCTCGGTAAGCTCCTTTTATTTTATGTAGTCCATCTTTCCTGAAATTTACCCCACTCATAAACTTTACATTTGTGTGTCAGTGCTTTGAAGAGAATGTGTAATGTAGTAGTTATTTAGTAGTAAGCAGTAAGTTTAGTATTCAGCTGAAGTTTATCTGCCAATTACTTTTGTGAACATAACTACAGAAAGACTCCCTCTTTCTATACACACACACATATATATAAGAGGCCGTGTCTGTCTAAACGGCATCTTTGTGTTCGTTGCACATAGATGGCAGCGCTAACTTCCCCTTTCAGACCTTGTTGTTGGTGAAACTTTTTTACTTTGATCCAAATATTGTTCCTGCAGATCGGGTGAAACCACCATTTGTTGTCTTTTTTTTATCAGAAATCCTATAGAGAGCAAATTTGCAAAGAAGCAGACCCAAAAGACATGGGGTAAGTTCTGACAGTCTTATGAAGTCATTGCATCATAGGCCTTTCTAGGATGATTTGGACAGTCATGTTGTGTAATAAACTGAAATTTGTACTTTTGTAATTTTCTTGATTTTCTTCATTGCTTTATTGCAAAAATACAAATAAGAGCTCAAATAAATCTCAGAGCTTTAGTTTAGTTTATCTAGTAGAAATGTGCTTTCGTGTTGAGGCTTAGTTGACAACTAAGATGTGTGATCCAGTATACAAAAATCTTTTTTCTGTTAAAATCCAAATATTTACTAGCACATAAAATAATGCATTTAGTTATTGAACTGATAGTATTTGACAAAAATGGTCAGCTAAATGTTTACTAATTATTACAGAATATTATTATAAATTAGAGGAAAGGTGGAATATAGGTCTTTCATGTGATCTGACTGTCAGAGTTTTAAATATGTCTTTATTTCAGCAACAGTGGAGAGGAAGGAAAACTGCACCGCAGACTTTCCCGAATAGGAAGCAGATCGCAGAGAGAGCCACCACGACCCCCTCCACAAACAGACAAGCCTCCAACTGTGGTTCCTCCAAGACCTGCTGAGACTGCTCCAAAACCTCCAGAACCTACGCCAAAACCAGTTGTAATCCCCCCAAAACCTCCAGTGGCTCAAAAGCCCACTGCCCCTCCAAAGCCACAAATACAAGTGTTCAACAGCACAGAGCATGGCGCTGCCATTCTCAAGGTAAGACAAAGACATCAGAAAAGGTGGAAACAAACTGCCGAAAACAGAGAAATGCTGTGTACTTACAAAGCTAGAATGGTGATTTCACTGCAAATACTATATATTAATGGCAAATTTTGCCATGTCCCAGGGCTTGGATTGTTTTCGTGGTGATGAGACTCTTTGCGATGTGACACTGGTACCTGGTGACAGCAGCGAAACTTTCCCAGTCCACAGGGTCATCATGGCTTCAGCCAGTGACTACTTCAAGGCCATGTTCACAGGTTAGTCTTACTAAATCCAGGAGGAGGAACTGTGTTGTCAAACCCTATTCATGTTTTTTATGAAGCCCCTGTGGTTTAAATGTGTTACCTTTTTTGTGATGTTTCATGCATTGCTGTTGATCATCTGTGTGATCCTGGTTGAGCCTGCTGTTTATCCATGTCTTGTGTTTTGTGATTATCACACGAACTTATTGGCTGATATCAAACTTTTTTTTTTTTTTTTATTGGTATCAGTCGATATAGGATATTTGATTGTGCGTATTCTGATGCCTTATTTTTAAAATGATTTTTTTTTTTTATTAATAGTTGCCTTAAATTTTTTTTTTTAATATTTTAAATTATTTTTTAAATTAATCAAAATATACTTTTTAGAAACAATAATAATTTAATAGAACTTAATTGTAATTGAAATCTCTGAATTAATATTCATTTTCTCACTGTACATTATGTTATGCCTAAATTCACTTGTAACATTTAAAACAATTGATTTCAGTGTTTAGTGTTTTATTTTAAACTAGATGTAGTATTGTTTGTACACAAACTTGGATAATCGCTTGAGAAAACCAAGCCTGAAAGTTTAAAACAAGACGGATGGATGGAAATAATTATCAACTTAAAGTATAGGCCAAGATTTTAATATTTGTAATATTTTGTTCAAATATGTCTCTATTTGTTCTGCATATATATATATATATATAAAAAATACCTTGCTACATGTACTGCATTAGGCTAACCGAGACTTGTCATTTGCACTTACATATTGTTGCTCTTTTGTTAGTTTTGATTGCTTCTATTGTCCTCATTTGTAAGTCGCTTTGGATAAAAGCGTCTGCTAAATGACTAAATGTAATTTATAATTAGGTTACCAACGAAAAGCATTTCCTCTTTGCAGTCTACTTCTCACTGATCTAATTCTTTCCCCTCATTTCCCTCTCCCTTTTGGTTTGGCAGGAGGCATGAGAGAGCAGGAGCTGAAGGAGATTAAGCTCCATGGTGTGAGCACAGTCGGCCTGAAGAACATCATCGAGTTCATCTACACATCTCGTGTGAGCCTGAGTCTCGGCACCCTTCAGGACACGCTTGAGGCGGCGAGCTTCCTCCAGGTGCTTCCCGTTCTCAGCTTCTGCAACCAGCTACTCAGCAGTGAGGTATAAACCCATAAGACGTGGTGTTTGTTCTTCCTTTGCGTGAATTATTCATCTGTGCGTGACGTAATAAGCCACGTTTTCTACATGCCAGATCACTATAGAAAACTGTGTGGAAGTTGAGCGCATTGCCAGGGATCTTCTTCTGGAAGATGTCCAAGAACACGTCCACACGTTTGTGTGTGAGAACTTCTCCGGGCTGGTGCAGAGTGGCCGCTTCCTGCAGTTGTCCGAGGCGAGCGTAACGTACACCCTCTCCAGTGACTCTCTGAAGGGTTTCTCCGAAATGGAGCTGTACCGCATCGCCCGCTCCTGGCTGTCCCATAAACCCAGCGAGCGGCGTTCTGCGGCTTACTCTCTGGTTCGCCACATCCGCTTCCCTCTGATGTCCCCTGCTGAGCTCCTCCAGATCTCTCAGGAGGACCAGACTGAAGAAGAAGGAGCAGCGAGCAGAGGAAAAGAAGAAGGGGAGCCGTTCATGCGATCAGACACGGCCTGTGTCAACCTCCTCCTGGAGGCCAGCAACTATCAGATGCTTCCCTTCCTCCAGCCGGCGCTCCAGACGGAGCGGACCCGGATTCGATCCGATTGCACTCACCTGGTGGTTCTGGGTGGTGTGATGAGGCAGCAGCTGGTGGTCAGCAAAGAGCTCAAGCTGTACGATGAGGAAGATGGAGGCACCTGGAGGTCGCTCCAACCTATGGAGGTGCCACGTTACCAGCACGGAGTGGCTCTTCTAGGGGGCTTTCTTTACATTGTGGGAGGTCAGAGCACTTATGACACCAAGGGTAAGACAGCTGTGGACAGCGCGTACAGGTATGATCCTCGCTTTGACCGCTGGTTGCAGGTGGCCTCTCTGAATGAGAAGAGGACGTTCTTCCATCTGAGCGCTCTTAAGGGGAAGCTGTATGCTGTTGGAGGGAGAAATGCCACTGGGGAGATTGGTAAGAACATGTTTTACTAATTACGCGGTACAAAATGTTCTGTCCTGTCTTAAAATACTGTGGAAAAACAGAAAACTGTCTGTTGTTCAGATTCGGTGGAGTGCTACAACTTGAACAAGAATGAGTGGACTTTTGTTGCACCGATGAGTGAACCTCACTATGGACATGCTGGCACAGTACATGGAGGTCTGATGTATGTGTCAGGTGAGTATCCACCCTGATGTGAGATCAATGTGAAAAGGACATGCATATTATATGTAGTTAATATGTATCTGTCCTACATAATGAGAAAAGAATCTGTATACTAATTAAATGTGGCTCACAAAGCATGTGGCCTTAATCCACCACAGTTCTCTGCGTGAGTCTAATGAATGCACTGCACAAGAATTCTTTTATTACTCTTAAAATAGAAGAAGAAAACACTTTTTGGAGGTCTCTTAGCAACTTTGCAACCTTCACCTAATGGCGAAGTTCCCAGAACTAGAATCAAAATTAACATGAAACAGATAACTAGGAAACAGAGCTGCTTCAAGCTGAACTGGGTCACTCATCTGAGGTTAGACCGCAGCCTAAAATGGTCACGGCAGGCTTGTTGTGAAACCATGAGAATGTCCATGCTTGAAGAATCACAAAGTATTCAATGAACATTATTGAAAATAATGAAATTTAAAGGGGAAAATGAATTTGTGTAATGGGAAGATCCAAATTATAATATAGAGCCACTTTGGGGTCATTTCCACCTCACATGGTTTTTCAAAAGGTAGTGCACTTATTTACCAAAGATATGAACGTGTCAGTAAAGATCATGCTTGTGAAATATGAGACATGTGATGTGTGAAAAACATCAAGCTGGAAATCATCATTTTGTATTTTTTCAAAGTATGAAAATGTAATAATAATATATGATACATTTAATTGTAGTAAATACAGTTATATTACTCTTAAATTTTACATTTAATTATTTTTTACATTAAATGCTAATTATAAAATTACACTTTTCCAGGCTGCCAATAGTCAGCCATTTTTCCTCCAAAAAGTTAAAATTATCGGTAACACTTCAGTATAGGGACCAATTCTCACTTTTACCTAGTTGCTTATTTGTATTACTATTATTAACATGTTGGCTGTTTATTAGTACTTATAAAGCACATATTCTGCATGACCATATTCTACATCCCTAATCCTACCCAATACCTAAACTAAATAACCACCTTACTATTAATAAGCATCAAATTAGGAGTTTATTGAGGCAAAAGTCATAGTTAATGGTTTGTTAATAGCGAGAATTGGACCTTAAAATAAAAGTGTGACCAAATTATCATTTCTACCACAGATGCTATTAAACACAAAACATCATGTGGTGGGACTTTTTTCAGACTTCTCCTGTGATTTATACAT